ACATGTGCACCTAAAATCAATTCACATGTTAAACGAAACACGCTAATAAATAATTCGAGAAACGCTTTGATATTAGACTGCTTTGTTAAACTTACCATGAACTAACAGCTACGGTTTTCGTAAATCTCGCCTCAAGACCGTCTTCGCCTGTTTCGTCTTCCTCATAGTCATTAGTCACTATCAGCAACTGGCTCGAACTGATAGGGCTGTACAACGGACGATTGCGGCTCAACAACGTCCTCGTTATCTGTTGGCTGTTCTGTATCTGTCTGTGATTCAAAGCTTTCGCTATCGGACATTTTTTGCGTTTTTAAGGAGAAATATACAAGCTATAATGTCTTGCGATTAGTGATATTTTGTAGTTTTCATTCAAGTAAACACTTGGATGTGTCACACTGCATACGTCACAAGGCCGGAATTTTCGGTACCAGTCTTTCATCAGGTAACGATTCAAAATAGCTGTATTTGTCGTACATTTTAGGGCATTTTCAATACTTTTAGAGCGCTTTTACTAACTAAAAATATTTGCTGCCGAAGGCAGCACACTATTCTTGACATGAAGTACTACGTGCCTGCGTTTACTTGTGTCCAGTCTCTTTGGCCGAGTTATGAAAAGTCGATCGAGATTTCGATTTTGTGAATTTGTGTCTGTCTGTTTGTTTGTATGTAAAGATGTCGTAATTCCGGGGAAATAATTAAGGCTTCAGGAAGATTTTTTAAACGAGGGGGGCGGTAAAAATTTATTTTGTATTGCGCTCGCATGATACACTGGCATGTTGGATTTTCACAAATCGACAATATTTTGAATAATTCAGGTAAGAATATAGCTTTATTTCTTTCTGGTGATATTACATGAAGGCATTTATATTTAGATCTGCTGTGGCAAGTGTTCGATATGAGGTATTTGAAACAAATAATATGATTTCACCAATTTATCGGCACATATTTGCATGAGGAGTCAAAATGTACTTTTGGTTTATTTGTTTGTGTAGCACGATGAGTTTATAGTGTTCATTCTAGATGTACATACTGTAGATATAGCAAATTATGTGATTTCGATCGGCACGTTTTGAAAACAAACGCGGAATGTTGTGTATGCTTTTAATATAATGTGAAGATATTTCATATTCCTATAGCAACACATGCATGCAGTTTAACCCAGTGACCAGTGTGGATTGTTGTCTGCACATATTAGCTAACTTACCAGCAGTTACATGTAATATAACATGTCAACCGCCTTTTGTACGAGGTATATGACGGTCTGTGAAAATATATTCTCTGAGATATGTCCATTGTTAGCATAATATGAAATAGTCCTACCGGCTACCAACCTACATTCACATATTCACCTGGCTGTGTTCAGGGTATACTATATTTTTTGATAATGCTCGCAATTTCTTTCTTATTATATAGTTTTGCAGTTATGACTGAGTACAATCTTAGTCATTACAAATGAACGGTGTCATCTGAAGCTGACATGATATTAAACAGAAATGTCAACAAATAGATTTTGTCTCCCCATCCGCAGATTGTTCAGTTGTTCTGTGAACATACTAAAACTGTCTGTACCAGTGTGCAGTGGCGGAAATTCACTCTTTCCGGTGGGGGGCGAATCCTTCTAAATTTCTGACAAAACTTTCAAATTTCCGACAACCCCCCCCCCAGTTGCACTCGAAAAGGTTGTTTTTAGCCCTCTTTTAGGTCAAAATTTCCCAAAAATTCGTCATTTTCCACGAAGGTGGGGGGGGGGGGCGGCTAGCTGCCCGCCCCACCGAGATTTCCGCCACTGCCAGTGTGGGTAGTACCAATGTGACTGACTTGCTGTGCTGAGTAGTTATATTATTACCTGAGAAAAACAAGCTGAAACTCGACATTTCAAGCGAAGGCCCTACGTCTAGAGTTAGTAGCCACATGAACACATCAAGAGTTATATAGTATCGTAACCACATGAACTCCGCAGGCATCTCGGTTTTTTGCCTGCAAGAAATTTTGCCCGATAATCTAAAGGCGATGCCTGTGGAGGAGGCTAATTAAATTCTACATGTCCAATGATTCATTCAAGTATTATTATTGTTTATATATATATGATATTGTAGAGTATTCAGTGGCAAGCTAGCCATGAACAGTGTCATCTGAAGCTGACGTATTAAACAAAAATGGCAACAAATAAATTTTGTCTCCCCATCAGCAGATTGTTAAGTTGTTCTGTGAACATAGCCTTCAAGGTGCCGTATGAAATTGTTATTAAATTCTATACTTGTCCAATGATTCATTCAAGTATTATTATTGTTTATATGATATTGTACAGTATTCAGTGGCAATCTAAGAAGAATTAGAATGTTTAGCGGCAATCTAAGAAGAATTAGAATGTTTAGCTAACCTTCGACATTGTGCAAGGTGTTTTGGTATTCAAAATGCACTTTTCCTACATTCTGAACAGGCATCTTAGGGGCTGTTTACATGATGGAAAGTGGGATGATTTTGATGTATTTCAATCACTAGGTTAAATGAAAGTTCAAATGCTGGTTAACAGACCTCAAATGTTGTCAGTTGTAGACCATGACTTATTTCAATACAACGAAATCGTTCCGCCTCATATCTTGTCCTGGCAAAGCGGGATCATATAAACAGCCCCTTATTCAGCAAATTGTGCATGCTGCCTTTGATTCCTTGGGGATGAGGCAGCACTTTCCTTGCGATAGTAACTTCTAGTTTTACCTAGTTAAGGGGACTGTCTACCCTAATTTTTGACCAAACGGGTCAAAATTGAAAATTGCATTTATATTGTAGAGAAAGTATTCCTTGTTCATAAACTTTTTACAGAATGCTAAAATTCCGCTTAGTTCCCGAGATATTTGACTTTTTGTGAATAACAATGTATAAAATGATATTTTCTTAATCCGTTTCCATGGTAACGGGTAAAATTTTGCTTAAAAATCGGCCCTTAAAACTGGTAAATAACCATAAATATTCATAAGTTTTAACTTGACCGTGTTCCAAATATATTTCTAAATGTCCTGGGAACAAGTGCTTTTCAGGGGGGGTTGGGAAATTGTATAAAATTCGTCACACGTCGCCATATTGTTTTGGAAGTTTTTCTCATGCAGTATTGTTGACTTTTTGAAAGTATTTCACCCGAATTTGCGTTAACAACACAGCCTATTTTGCCAAGTTTATATAAATAATGCCTCGACGAAAGTCTAAACACACATTTCGTGGCATTCCTTCATGGTAAAAGGCAAAATTAGCGGATGAATATCGCGTTGAGCCGTTTATATAAACCAGCCGGCCATTTCTGGACATCAGGACATGAAGTTTCAGAACCACATGTTAGTAATTCACCTGCGAGACAGAAGAAAACCGGACACTTACAGCAAGCGAGAAGAAAATTATATCATCTGTAGACATATGCGAGGGTACAAATGCCACTATGGACGGTGACGAAGAAATTGATACACTGGTGGACCCATCAAAGCCATATTTTAGTGAAGACCCTGGCTATCTTTTCTTCAATTTGTCAAATGTTCACCAAGCATTTCAAGAAGGACATAATTGTATAATGGTACTTGGTCAGAGAGGGGACATACAGCTTCCTATGGATTTGTTATACCTGTAGAGACAGGCCAAGTTCTTGATTATGGTTTCGGTCAAAGATTTGTACTTCGTGTAACGAACAAAAGGCAGATAAGGATTCGGATGATATACAAGGTGTGGCATGATAAGCTATTCCCCAAACCAGAATGAAAGCCTGAATGGAATAGTCTGGTCTAAAGCACCAAAGCACAAGTATAAGGGTCCAAAGGGCAATCAAAATGGTTCGGTACAGGGTCTGCTGTACTCCAATTTGACAGCGGTTCGAAGGCGCGGCACGAGATGATGAAGGTGGCAAAATCCCGTCTGGCAGGTTTACTGAAGAAGCAAGAGCCAGTATGGACGAGAAGAGAATAGCCTCTTCAAAAAGGAAAGCAAGCTTGGTAGAAAAAAGGAAAAGAATTGCACAAAGACAAGCAAAGCTTGTTAGAGAACTGGAAACACGTGACGATGAAGGTGGCCCATTCTATAGCAGCGATGCGTTTAGTGAAGGGCGTTGCCGGGACTAAAACTAGCTAAAAGACCAAAAAGACAAAAACAATGAGTAGGTGGAACGTTATGAGGAGTAAGAATGGATTGTTATGTTGTGTTCTGTTAACATTTGTCTGCTAGGGTGTTAGTAAAGCTGAAAACAATGCGAAGACATGTTAGTCCAACTTTACCTTTGCCGCAAAACACAATTTCCGCATATTTTTACCTTTAAAATGCTAAAACTCAGAGAGTTTTTAACAGATTTGGCTGAAATTTTCACAGTTTACTCTCATCTATGTACTTAACAAATTAATGAGAGCTTTTGTTGATACAGCCAATTCTGAGCAAAATAATTGAAAAAGAGATTTAAGGATGTCTTAACTGTTACCACGGCAACACCAATTGTCCAATCAAAAAAATGAATCATTAATTTGTTCATACCTGAGTGTTGCACAAGTGTGCAAAGTTTCAGGGCTGTACCTTGAATTGCCTCAAAGTTTTAGCATTTTAAAGATTTACTGTAATATTCCAATTACTCGGCTTCTCGGAAAGGGTAGACCCCCCATGATGCTATCTGAAGTTAATTAAATACTATTTTTGTAATGTCTAAGTACCAATATTCAAGATATATTCTCATTTGGATGCATAATTAGATGTTTTTTCTTAAAATTGCCTCCTGTTTCACAATCGTCCATTTTTACCAAAATTAGGGTAGACAGTCCCCTTAAGGGAGGTCATTTCTTTCCAAATTTCGAAATTTAAAATTTTTCATTTTTCCTTGCATATACACTTTAATAATATTGCTCTAAAAAAATAAAATTTGCAGGATAGTACAATATATATGCAGCAGTAGCAGTTGAGGTAGTGAGGCGGTGGTGGCGAAGGTGGCGGTGGTAGCAAGCCAATAATATTTGTGATATATAATGGTTGTTTT